ACTTCCGATCACGCAGATATCGACAAATTCGATATTTCTCCTCCCCCAGCATTTTGTGCTAGATCGCGCACTTCGAGCAGAAATAATGACATGGAATCGGTGGCGCCGGAACTTTTGGAATCTCCCGACTCTTGGCGCGTGCGGATATGTAGTCGGCAACTAAAGGATACTCATGTTGACAATGTGTCGCAACGCAATTCGTCCAGTGGGGATAGTAAAGGTGAAACAAATTGGGTTGTTATATTTTGTAAAAGTTTCCTGTCTACTTTCGATGATGCATTTATGAAGGGTAGAAGAGAAGATCACGTAGAAAGCATTTCTCTACCTGCTATGATACAAAGTTTGAGCTAATATCGATATTGGAAACGACGACGATATATCTCGTGTGCATCATTTAAGTAGTGGTAAATAAAAGGTGCTGTATTTGATTAGGATGGCTGTAGTGGTGACGGCTTTATTCAAATATTTTTCATGATGAATCTGCGGATGACCGAATTAACGGTATAATTGGTTGGTCATGCTACGAACGTGTCCGCGGTCATATGTACGATAACAATTCTGGGCGAGCTGGCTGAGCACATTTGTCTTTTTCCTTCAAGTGACTGGCTCGAACATAAAGAGCAACGAGGACGTTAGTATATCTATATCTGCATCGCAAACGACTGAATAATAGCCAAATCACACCATTTGTGACACGTACCCATGCGACATCGATGTTAAGAGGGCTGTGGAACAAAAAGCATCACGGTATAAACGAAGAGAGCAAGATCATATGAGATACTCCAAGTTCATATCCACTCAGATGATCACGTAGTTGTCTTATACTGACGATTATTGCATCTCTACATACGAGGTAATGGTGGTATCAGGGTAAGAAGTGTAAAAATCTAGGACGTGCAAGTAAAAAATGGCGTTGAATGAAGGAACAAAGCTCTTCGTGTCGTAAAAGAACAGAAGTAAATATCTGGTCAGTTTGAGCAGTTTCGCAACGGAACGTGTTTTCATTGGTGTATAAATGATGGCACTTCTCGATTGTTTTGCGATACGTTACGACATTCTGTGAGCTAGGTTGAGTGTTGTATGCAAGTCAAAAATTGTGAGTAAAATGTATGTTGACTACGGAATTGAGATTGTAAGTTTCCTATCACTTTCTTGGGCGAGTAAACGGAGGAAAATGAATGTTCTATCAAGATTCTATTGACACAGTGATGTTGAAAAGTTTATTGAGCAATTACAGTTTCAACGCACGCCCTATCTAAATTCGACGAATACGACAAAAAACGATCGACTATGAATGACACGGACACTGCGTAATGTAAACAGGCACTAGTGCAAAGAAACATACATATGCATCATGAGTGATTGGATTGTTGGCGCATCTGGCGACGTGCACCAGACCCGATTTGGCCTCATTGGTCGGGCAGATTAGCAGACGTGCGCAAAGACCAACTCAATAGCACACAGGTGAAGCCAATAGATTATTGCGTCCCATTTTTTAGCATGTAAACGGTGTAAGTATATACAAGCAGGGGTCCAACAGAGTGCACAGTAAATGTACGGAAATTGCTCGATCAATGCTCGAGTAATGACGATGATACCATGTCGACTGTGGCTAATATGTGTGGTACCTCGCACGACGTGAAATTGTGGCCATCAATACGCTAAGTATTGTGACGCAATAGAAATGCTGATGAAAAGTATGCTGCAGCATTCGAAGCATGAGATGACACACATTACAAAGTGATCCGGCATCAGTCATCAAGCAGCGTTTGTCATGGCGTCTGACCCAAAATACGGAAGCTGTATCCGTCACGGTTGATATGCCTTGGAATTGTGCTTGAGATTAAGTGGTGAAACGGATGATGAGTTATGGAAAGTTAAGATCAACATTGTTCCGTCAATTTTGATGACACGATAGCTTTAGCTATCGATCTGAGAGGTCCATGTGTCATGATAGTCATGGCCAAGGATGTTACACCGAAACAAGATAAGTGGTACACTACGGTTTAGGTACGTGCCGGCGTGGCGTACCACTCATTTATATCAGTGTCGTTTCAGTTACCAAAGGTACGGAGATTCGTTTTTACTGTAGTGGAGAGTGAAACCTTACTTCTAGTGAATGAAGGGAGATTTTACCCGCTACAGATTCGTAAAAATGTCAGTTACCTTTTGATCTGTCAGAGACACCTGTGTCGTGAAGGCGTATCAGATCTTGTAAGAGTAGTCATGCCTATTAAGGTGTAGACTCTACAACACTTTGTGCTGTTGATCCGTTGAATCGTTAGGTCCCTCATGCAAGGACCTCGGGCTTTCAAGCTTGTTGACTTGTAGAGTCGAGTTCTTTGAAAGAACTAAGTTGCTCGTTGCAGGGACCTTCCTCTAGCAAAAAGCTATAGCAGCTTTGCTACATCGAACTATTACGCCTGTTACAAGATCAAAGTCACTCGGACGAGGGTGTTGGAGTTGCTAAGTGACTAGTTTTGGATGAGGGAGTATTGGAATCGGCTTCAAAGTGTTCGCTTAGGGTGCATACATATTTTTACCTTCCTCGGCGAAAATCTAGATACACTAGAGAGGTACTTGCGTACGTACTGGATGCGACATGCGAAGTCTGGTTTTAGCCAAATACATCTGCTCTTTATAACAAGTTAGTAATTTGCGTACGAGGCGCTGTAGTCACATTACGCAAATAGGTTCGGAGAGATATAAGCGTCAATCAGTACTACACTCCTGCTTGAGAGCGAGCGTAGTTCCTTTGTTGGTATAAGTCAATCTCTCTTTGAGGACATCACTACGTTTGGTTCACTCCTACCGAAATGTGCTAGTCCGTACGACTCAAATATCGCTTGAATTGCGCAGAATAAACTGTGGACAATTGATCTAATATATCTACTTACGTCTTACTGACTTAGTTGAATGGGAGGCTATTTGATGAAAAGAGATGCTGAAGTGAGTAGATAAATCGTCAATAGAGCTTGCTTAACTTAATCTACCTAATGACGTATCTTCTGGCCCGGGCATTCATCACATTATTTAATTAAAAATAGAAGCCGAAAGTACTTCACTTGTGTAACTATGAAACGATCTCGCACATTTCACTGTGCAAGAGCGATGCTACTATTCCAAACAGACCCAAACAGTATCGAATATTCCAAATCTCTTGCAACCTCGCGGTCGAGGATGATCGTCGTGTTGAACAGTTTGTAATACATCCTGTCCACAAAGCTTGCACGCTACAACTTACTCAGTACACCTACTGAGTGTGATGCTATACTGCATAGTAGAATGTACATGTCACGCATACGCAATATCTTATCTACAGAAAGGGGTACACTGGAACTGTTAGAATCGGCGATGTCGACCCGTGACTGTTAAAACGACCAACTACGCTTCTCTACTCCGATCATGTGCTAAAAAAGTTACTTGCGCATATTCTATATCGTATTGAAGAATTTGCACACCGCGAATTTCATTTGCAACCAAACGTCTAGGAGTTAAAGTGTTGCTACACTTCCGATTGATGCACAGAACGAACAGCATAGCAGACGAGATATTGGCACCTTTATGATTGCAGGACCAGACAATGCCCACCTTGAACAAGCTGCGGTATCACAGAAATGGTAATTTTCACCTGTTTGGGTATGTAAAAAGCTAATGAATCATTTGTTCACTGGTCCGGTCCATTACAGCGCAGAACAGTATTTTGTGCCACTAGAGTAGAGCCACTGATGTAACATTGTTCGAGTATAGATTGCTACATCTAGTGCTTGCTCAAACAAAGGCTACACATTGATCCAGTTAAAGTTAAGTACAAGGTGTAGCGTACATTCGATACAAATTGCCACCAGATTTGTTACAAATCATGGGTGCAATGCGGCCGAGACGTCTAGCAGAAGTTGTAAAATATTGTTCCCTACACCGCCACTTCGTCTGAATGATCGACACTGACGTATGTCGACGATTTGTCGTTTTCGACGATGGCCGCTATGTTGAAAGAGCTGAGCACAAAGACAGGTGTTATTGGTTCATATCTTCGAAGTAGGGCACATCGCGAGGGTGGAAGCGCAACATTAATTGTCATTTTTGTCGCTACGTCAAAAGTCGGCCCATAACATTCTGACGATCCGACAGTTCTATTCTCTGGTGTCGGGAATCGAGCTTGTCCAGATACTTCGAAACTTGATCATGTCAGGACATGATTAAATCCCCCAACGAGATTAAAAGCAGTGCATTCGTTAGCTTATGATGTCGTGTGCTGGAAGAAACGGCACAGTTTTTTCATCCCCGAATAAATCATTTCGAAATTCAGCAGCCTGAATCACAATTTTTGCTAGACGCAATGGGTAAAGTAGTCTTAAGAGACGTTTCGAGGACCGCTTGTTAGAGCCCAAGCGTCTAGCAATACATTGATAGAGCGCCAGATTGCTTCGATGTGGTATACAATGTCAATTTTTGTGCGATACAAACCTGAGGAGGTCAAGCCGCTGATTCTGACCTTATCCACTACACAATGGGCGGATGCTGTGGATCGTTTTGCGATCATTGCACATAGAAATCAACACATGACGACGTGATGGTGCCGAGAATAGGTGGCTTTGATTCAGGTTGTCGACCCTACATTTGGTCCAGCAGCACTGCTTATTGTGTGCGAAACTACTTACCTTTTGCGTAGAATCAAAGCGGTTGGTCCTACCTACGGTGGTGTGAAACGTTCACTGACGTTCTCTCAGGTGCGCATGAATGCTCAAAGTTATCTAGAGCTACCACAAATACAAGCTCTAGTGAGGATTGCTGTATCTTGACACATCCGATTCGAATGCCATGCCAAATCGATGAAGTGAATGCGCCTTCATGAAGCAATATTTATATACGCATTCATTGCTTTGAACAATAGTCACATTTCAGCCATCAAAGGGTCATGTATTGGCTTCTGGTATAATCCCTTCGATCTTCGCGCAAACTCTTGATCACAAAGGGCACCCACGTTTATCCTACAACCTCTATAGGGAGAGCGGGAACGCACTTTTGACGCGGATTTCTTCGCGGGGCCTTCACTCCATTTGCAACAAAGAGAGCAGCCTTTGATCAGCCTAAGTTACTCCAGCATATTGCGACAGCCTCAATCATCATTTATCACCTGTCGTCAGCACTTGTAGGTACCATGCCCATGCGCTTGATCACCTTCATTCCCGACGAGATCCGACCAAACACCGTATGCTTGCCTGCATTATAAAAAATCGAAATGCAGCAGTCAAGAACGCAACCACGCCAGCCTACTTGCACATTGTGACCACATTACCATCTAGCCAAGGCGTCGGTGCCAGCGTGATGAAAAACTGGCTGCCGTTCGTGTTTGGCCCAGAATTCGCCTACGCGCATTAATAATCGTAGAGCAAAATGAGCATGCCCGTTGGCTCATAGTCTATATTCTGGATGCAACAATTGAGACGTACCATCGATAGCACGCCAGCTCCAGTGTGTTTTAGCTCCTTTGTAATCTCATCATCGAATTTGCCTCTGTTGCAGCCAACGGAAAATCGCAGGATGAGACGCCAAACTTGACACTAGAATTCGCAGACACAGACACTTCCGACCCGTAAATAGACTCTCCACCTCTCCCCGTGCCCGTGGGATCTCCTCCTTGAATCATGAAGTCTTTGATAATGCGGTGGAATATGGTATTGTTGTAGTAGCCGCGTCGCGCCAACTCTGCAATGTTCCAGCAGGTTTTAGGGGCGTGTTCCGAGTACAGCTCCACGGTAAAGTCGCCCTGTTCCATATATCTTGATATCGTTAGCACATGAGCGTAAAGCATACTCGTACTGTTACCATATACATGCAGAAGGACGCACCACAGTCGTCTTGAAGGTCACGTGAGTTGGCGGCTTAGGTGCATCGGAAGTCATGATGTGGACGAACTCGAAATGGAATCGCCTCGTTTTGTGATTGAATAAGCGTGTAGCTTTTTCGTCGAGATAAATGACCCTCACTATAAAATTGATATTTTTTGTAAAAATGTACTAAAAAGCCGGATTGGTGGTGCCGAACAAGCAGGTTTTACTTGATCAAGTCTACATAATGAGATTATATGTGAGCCATAGGAACAATTAACTGTCCTAGCAAATTTAATATGACAGGGAATTCCGGGCGGTCCAATAAATGACACACTTTTTGCTTCATACTTACAGATGCCACGACACTAAAGATGTTGTCAAAAGCAAACACTCTTGTCACCGGATGCACAAAGCATACTCCGCGGGCATCATCGGTCTGTGTTTTGGATGTAGAACGTCTTCGCCAATAATGGCATATAATTCATCTGTCACTATGCTATGTTACCATATACGTTGGTGTGGGCCATTGGACTGAGGCACCAGTGCCTGTGTGTTATGTGTTCCGCCGGAGATAGCGATCTTGCTTCCATTCTGACAGATTTCAGACGGTAATATATAGGTCCGTACGAACACTACTGCCAATTTCAGTACCTAATGAAGCGCTACGATCGTTGTGTAGTGAACGAACGTGATTCTCAACACACTTCGTACCCCCGCAAAGATACTGTCGACAACAGGCCTATCAGAGGTCATAAATTATTAAGGTAGGAGATGAAAGGAAGAGGGTAGACTTGGATTTACACGGGTGACCTCAATGCCATCAAGATTTAAACGTAAAGCTAACATCTTTTGTCCATTTTTTAAAAAATAAGGGTACAAAACGCTTAATATGAACTGATTTAAATTGCTCCACTAGAGGAGACAACGAATTAGCGCCAAAAAATTGCAAAAGGATATCGATGTAAAGAGCGTATCATTTGGAAAAATCCATTGTGACGTTGACAGTCTCATGCTCATATCGTGTCAATTTTAAACAACTTTATCTGCATGGACTTGGTAGTGTCCTAACAAGCTGTCGTGTCCAATCATCTAATTTTTCACAACGTAAAACTTGAATGCACGGAAGCACATTTGCCTCAGAATACATAGAATTTACGGTCTAACATTATTACGTGATGTGCCAGCACGTAGAGCAACTACCTTGAAAATGTAGCATCATCAAGTGGTAGTATATTGTGCAAAATGTTCAATGTGTATCTAGAGGGTAGAAAGACCAACATTTGTGATCATAAAGTTTATCATTGCAGAAGCATTGTTGCACTAAACTTGACAGTGCCAAAGACATGGATGTAATAGACATGGAACAACGTCTCTTGATATAAGCAGCAACTCCTTTTATATCACAACCACTTTGTATCATCAGTATTACACATTCTATCATATTACTTTTGCTTTGCGTGTCCCGTAGCATCCGCGTTATTGATTGCCTAAGCATCCAAACAGTCCGATCGAACCCTTCAGTATAATATCTACTCTTGCTGCCTCTGCATGATAGCCATTTAATGGTTCCGTTAATCTTGACTTTAACACCACTAACAACATTGTATAGGTACACCTTTGTACTACGGTGTAAGATTTTCTGAAGTCCAGCGAACTTGCCGAGGCAAACAGCTACACATTACGATGATGTCACCCTATAATACATGAACAGGGGCGATCGAGGTAACGTGGCCCTAACAACCGAACGAAAAACCTCAAGGTTAAGCTTACAGCGTCACATACTTTTACAATTCGATAAAATAACTGTCGACGGATACATTTGATATGCTTTCCTTTGACTAAAGTGGGAGAGAAAATGATAGAAACATGCGGGGATGCAAATAATAAGTTCAAGCATGCATTTACAGTTTCCCATTGTATATATCCGTGGCCCATGGTTTTAAAGATGTAAGACATTGATGTCTTTTACTCATCCAGCGTCGCGCTTTTATATTATATGGGATATTTGGTGCACTACACTATTTTCTGATCTAGAGGTCCATTTTACGTATTTTCCGAAGTTTCGTCATCTTCATGTTATTGACTACGTGTCACAGCAGAAATGGTAGCAATGCGTCCCCCTGGGCCTTTCTTTGTGGCCAACACTTTTATCTAACGACACAATAATAATGCTAAATTAAAATTTGCAAATATGAAAGATGATGACAAAATAGGTTTGCGGTGGCTTGAGGTTGCACTCACGGAGTAGTTACTCACTGCAAATAGGCAAAGAAGGAGCAATACGTAGAAAAAATCTGGTTTACACCACATTCACGACATAACTCGATGAAACAAGCAGAAAAGTCGAAGCAATCATGCTCACTCCTCCCGCATAGGTCAGAAAAATCTGATCTTTACTTTCTTTATCTCTTGAATTTACCTTGTCGGTCGTATTTCAGTGTTGGTGGTATCTCGGACCAGCACGAGCAACCGTTATTCTCTTATCTTTTTATGCCTTTAGATAACCTAAACAAATACCAGTACCAGGTTGTTGAGATATATGACACGGTAAATACGGCACCAATGAATACAATCCTCTCTAAATACAAGCTCCGAGCGTCCGAAGTGTGTTCACATAGATAATAACTTGACCTAGTCCTCAAACTTGATTTTCTAATGAAAATGCGGAATTGCGGTCTTGCTTGACAATCTCTATTAAGTAGCCAATAAACTTGTACAATAGACGCCCAAGCTGAACATCTACGGCAGGTTATCTCTTTGTACAGGATATCGTGTCAGAGAAATGACCCAATGAAGATTCTAACATTCTGAAAAAACAGAGGTTGCACGCTTCCCAAAAAGTCTCTTTTTTACGTCAAGAAAACTGGTCGCAAGCCAACCGCCTGGCTCTAAGTCAAACATCAAGCAATGATTTGGTTTGAGGACCTTCTCTCTGGACAGCGTCGGCTTTACAACCTCTTTTGTTTTGGAGAGGGAGAAGAAAAAAATCAGGTCGATTCCCACCCAACAAATGAGAACTAAGTCGCGTGTGAGGCAGGCCAGGTGGCAGCATGAGCTAGTGCAGCACATCCATGAAACGCGATGGCGTGTTGCTTGTTCAAACAAACACATCGTGTTGGCTCCAGATCACTTGCACATTGTTGCCGACATTAGATGACGGCGCGAGACCGGAGATCGTTTTAAAGCATCGTTGCAAAGCCCCTCCAACTGCTAACTTGAGCCTGGACGGCGAAGTCGGTCAAACTATCTTACCATGCGTTACTACGATCAGCTTTTGGATCAGGCAGAAAAGGAGGGTGTAAATGTACATAAGGTTGAGATCCACTGCGTAGCGATAGAACGATTGATTGGGGCTCAGTTTCTAGCGTGTTCCAAATTCGTCATGATCACAGATTCGCAGTGGCACAATAAGCAACGTGTCCCCAGGACCAACTCGCGCTTTCGAACACGATGTGGACAAACGTGCGCGCAATCATCATTCTTCTAGTGGTGAACGCCTCACTTTCTGCGCTCTATGAACCAACGTCGGCGTCGTATGTTTCTGGGACGTCAACGGCGTCACTGCCCACTTCAGACCGCGACGCCGTGCAGTCGCTCAGGACAAGAAGTGAAGAGGCGAGCGACATCGAGGGTCACGAGGAAAGACATTTGATGTCTGTGATGCCTGTGATGCCTCACGTGCCTGTGATGCCTCACGTGCCTGTGATGCCTTACGCGCCTATGATGTCCCACGTGCCTGTGATGCCTTCAGCGCCTATGATGCCTCACGCGCCTACGATGCCTTACGGGCCTGTAAGACCAGCGCAAGAATATTGGACAGGAATCTCGCATCATGATATGTCGCTCTGGAAACGTATCATGCAATTTCTGAAGAAATTAGTTGCGGGTCCCATCGAAAGTTTGCGGAAACTTGGCAGGTACATTATCAATTACCTAGACAAGCATTCCGATGATATTGTCGACATGATGTCAGTCATTTGAGTATGCAAGACATAGATTGAATTGAAATCAAACGTTAGACTCCCTTCAAAACCAAAACAATATATTCGTGTGCTTCGTCGAACATTCAGACGAAGGTCTGTGATATACTGGCTGGTCTTGAATCTGTGCAGTGACTGTTTTGACGGCGATAACCCGCAAACAGGGGTATTTACTATCTATAGTACCGATATCCTTCTGGCAATTTTTTGTGTGTGCTCTGCCAAATGCTATTGGGGCTACAATCATCTAGCGGCAGTCGTAGCGCAGCCGCACGCACGATTCATGGGCTCATGACATCTTTCATACTGTGGTCGGATCAATGATGCAAGGAAAGGTGAATTCACAACGGGGCTAAAACCCAGTCCTTCATAGCGCTTCGACATATAGTCCTAGGCATCGGTCACCAGAGATTGCATTACCGCGTGTTTGTTCAGTTTGCCAGTTAAAGCTATAGCTAGCGACTGTGTAGCTTTGCAAAAATATTACATGTCGTTCACGCTTTCCTGTCCGACAACAAGAGCCACCTACCGGAATTATCATGCAATGAAGGCACTGACAATATACGATGTAGGAGCATGGTTCGCTCTAAGCATCCGAGAATTAATGCTTAAACCAGAAAAAGCGTGTGACGTTGAACGCATTATGGAGAGCCCGTCACACGATGTTGACACCAAACTGGGTTAATGTGAAAATCATTTTGATTGATATAGTCAATAAAATATACCTTGCTAAGCATGTAATATCGAAAAGTCACCGTCGAAGATGAAATTCGGTACTACTCTGTCCACCGATTCGATATCAGCCATTATATCTAGGTCATAATATCAACCAACATAACTTCCTACCGCTGCTAGACACGCGCAATGGGCAATGAGCCAGTAGCTGTATTGCATATTTGTACTATATTAAAGTTAGAGAACGATCGAGTGTATTAGATAAAGAAAACTAAAGAATACATTAATAAATAGTTCTACCTTACCCTTTACTATGCACCTTCGTTAAGTAGATCAACTTCCTCCACACGTACGCATACGTCGTATTTCGAGGCACCTGCACACACTGTGTTAGTGAAGATAGCTTGTGCTGTGTCA